GTAAGAAACAAATTCTGGGGGACTGGGTTGCTTGGCATAGACACACTTAATACACTGGTGAACACAATAGACTCTTTGCTTGAAGAAGGATGTGGAGCTGAAGAATAATTTTTTTAAAGAGGTTCTAGACAGGCCGGTCACGGTGACTCATGCCTGTAATCCCAGCACTTTGGGAGGCCAAGACAGGTGGACAACTTGAGGTCAGGAGTTCAAGACCAGCCTGGCCAACATGTTGAAACCTTACCTCTATTAAAAATACAAAAATTAGCACAGTGTGGTGGTGGCCATCTGTAATTCAAGCTACTTGGGAGGCTGAGGCAGGAGAATTGCTTGAATATGGGAGCCGGAGGTTGCAGTGAGCTCAGATTGCCCCACTGCACTCCAGTCTCGGTGACAGAGTGAGACTCCATCTCAAATAAATAAATAAACAAATAGGCTTTAGACTTTACCAGGGTCCTGATGGGAATAATGGAATATAGAGACAGTATGATGTTGCAGGGGAGAGAGGGGATAAGTGAAGGAGGGAAGTTCTTGAGTAAACGGGGGAATGAGTTTTGCGAGACCAGTAGAGGGTAGTTCTTGGATGGGAACAGTTGTTTTCTGGTCACTGAGGTGAAGGCAGAGAACAGTGATGCAGGAGCCGGCAGGAGGAGAATCTGGTGGAGGAAGAGGCAAGAGCATCAGCTTGAGGGCATGAGTCGGGGTGGGAAAGGATGTTTGGTTTGAAGCTTTCAGGAGAAAGCAAAAGAGCCCTAATGATTATGATGGGCCGTGGGGAAATGAGTGCGATACAGAAGCAGTCACCTTTCAGATCAGTGATGAGTCTCCACATGAAGACACTGGTTCTGCGTGGTGCGTGGGACCCAGCGGCAGAATACAGCCCTGCCCTCTCATGAATTTGCAGACATTGGCTGGTCATTTCTCACCAAGCTCCTAGTTTCCTCTTCTGTCACACAGTGATGATGATGTGTAATCAATGCTGTGCTTATTGAGATCAGAGGCAAGAAAGTTGAGGATGTGGTACAATGATTGCCAAGTATAAAGTGCTTCGACGGCGGCCACCATGGTCTGTGTTCATTGCAAATCACAGGATTTCTCCCTTGAACCATAATTGGACAAAATTGCACAGGTTTTCCTCTCTGGTATGTTCCGGCTCATTATTGCAGAATCTTCCTCATTCATTGCAACAATCTTCTGAACTGGTTGCCTTAGAGATTCTTGAAGACAAACAGTCCTCAGGGTATTTTGGTGGTTAGATGGGTGGTAGGGGAGGGAGACATGTCTGAGTTATTTCTGAGATTATAGAGTATCAAAGTTCATTAGAAATGTGAGCCAAATACGTAATTTCAAAGTGTCAAGTAGGCAGTTTAAAAAGATGGAGAGAAACAAGTGACCTTAATTTTAATAAAATATCTGAGGTAAACTTACATAGCCAAATTATTATCATTTTAACATGTAGTCAATATAAAAACTATTAATGAGATGGTCACAATATTTTTTTCATACTAAGTCTTTGAAATCTGATGGGTATTTTATTCCTGCAGCCCATCTCCAATTGGACTAACCACATTTCACGTGCTTAAAAACCACATGTGGTGAGTGACTAGTGTATTAGACAGCTCTTCTGTGCCGGTAGCATGGCAAGGCAGAGGCAGAAAGAGACTTTTGCTGAAATTTGACAGCCTGGGTTTTTGGTTGACTTTAAGGAATTAACTGAAATGCTCTAAGTCTCACTTTCCTCATCTGAAAAATGGGTACCATAAAGAAAGTGACCCTTATAGTAACACTTTGGAGGAAGCCTCCTGCAAGCATTAGAAGAGAAGATCAGGCCGGGCACAGTGGCTCACACCTGTAATCCTAGCACTTTGGGAGGCTGAGGCCGGTGGATTGCCTGAGCTCTGGAGTTTGAGACCAGCCTGGGCAGCATGATGAAACGACATGTCTACTAAAATACAATTTTTAAAAAATTAGCCAGGCATGGTGGCGTGCACCTGTAATCCCAGCTACTCAGGAGACTGAGACAGGAGAATCGCTTGAACCTGGGAGGCGGAGGTTGCAGTGAGTTGAGATCATGCCACTGCACTCCAGCCTGGGTGATAGAGAGAGATTCCATCTCAAAAAAAAAAAAAAAAAAAGAGAAGACCAGCTCTTGGCAAGAACCTGACATGCACTTTGCATACCTGATCTAATGAAATGTCATACCCAATACATATTTGGACTATTATTTCTATCACGGTCTTCTGCATCCCCAAGAGTGCTGAGCCCATCCAATGGGCGGAGAAGCACCTCCCATCCATCTGGCCAAGGTAACCGCAGAGACAAGAGTGGAAACGGAGTCTGTTGTTCTGACTTCTTGTAGCACAGAATCCATTGGATATAATACTTGATTATCCATCGTTTATTATCATTCACGGATCCATTTGGCCTATCTTGGAAAACTAACCAAATACTATGCCTTGCCTCCCACGATGAGAGAGGAAAGGGAGATTTCATGACCTTAAAGAGAGAGAGGGAGCAGAATTTGGAGTGGAGAAATTGCATATCTTTTTTTTTTTGAAACGGAGTCTCGCTGTGTCACCCAGGCTAGAGTGCAATGGCGCAATCTCTGCTCACTGCAATCTCCACCTCCCAGGTTCAAGTGATTCTCCTGCCTCAGCCTCCGGAGTAACTGGGACTACAAGCGCCCGCCGCCATGCCTGGCTAATTTTTGTATTTTTAGTAGAGACGGGGCTTCACCATGTTGGCCAGGCTGGTCTCGAACTGCTGACCTCGTGATCCGCCCACCTTAGCCTCCCAAAGTACTGAGATTACAGGCATGAGCCACTGGGCCCGGCCAAGAAGTTGCATATCTTATAGTTCTTATGCAGAGTCATGGGTGAGAGAAAGTCTTAGTCCACATTTGCGTGACACTAGGTCACTGTAGGTGTCACCCACTGATTTTCTGATATCATACATTGTTATTTTTTCTTTATTAAATTGATGGTAAAATACACATAACAAAAAGTTAACCATTTTAGGCTGGGCACAGTGGCTCACGCCTATAATCTCAGCACTTTGGCAGGCCAAGGTGGGCAGATCACCTGAGGTCAAGGAGTTTGAGACTAGGCTGACCAACATGGTGAAAACCCATCTCTACAAAAATATAAAAATTAACCAGGCATGGTGGCAAGTGCCTGTAATTCCAGCTACTCAGGAGCCTGAGGCAGGAGAATCACTTAAACATGGGACGTGGAGGTTGCAGTCAGCCAAGATTGCACCACTGCACTCCAGCCTGGGTGACAGAACGAGACCACATCTCAAACAACAACAAAAAAGTTAATCATTTAAATGTACAATTCAATGGCATTAAGTACATTTACAGTGTGTTGCAACCATAACCATTATCTAGTTCCAGAACTTTTTTATCACACCAAACAAAAACTGCATAAGCATTAAGCAATAATTCCCCACCTCCTACTTTCCCTAGTCCCTGGCAATCACTAATCCACATTCGGTCTCTGTGAGTTTGGCTACTCTGGATATTTCATGCAAGTGGAATCATACAATATGTGACTGGTGTTGTCTTCCTTCCTTCTCTCCTTCCTTCCTTCTTTCTTTCCTTTCTTCCTTCTTTCCTTCCTTTCTTTTTTCTTTCATTTTAGAGACAGGGTCTCGCTTTGTTGCCCAGGCTGGAGTGCAGTGGCTCAATCATAGCACACTGTTAACCTTGAATTCCTGGGCTCAAATGAGCCTCCCATCTCACCCTCCTGAGTAGCTAGGACTACAGGTGTGTGCCACCACATCCAGCTAATTTAATTTGATTTAATTTTTTTGTTTTGTAGAGATGAGGATCTTGCTATGTGACTCAGGCTGATCATGAACTCCTGAGCTCAAGCAATCCTCCTACCTCAGCTTCCCAAAGCTCTGGGATGACAGGCGTGAGCCACCACATCCAGCCCTCTTTTGTTTAGCGTCATGTTTTCAAGGTTCATCCACATTGTAGCGTATATCAGTGCTTCATTCTTTCTTATGGCTGAATAATATTCCATTGGATGGATAAACCACATTTTGTTTATCCATTAATCTGTTGATGGACATCTGCGTTGTTTCTACCTTTTGGCTATAGTGAGGAGTGTCTCTATGAACATTTTTGTTTGAATACATGTTTTCTCTGTACATCTTTGGCCCCATATTCTCCTCTTGGAGGTCAAGGACCCTATTTCCTTAGCCATTTAATCTCCCTGGTAGGGGCTCGCATGTTAGCAATTATGAGGATGTGTCATAAGATGCAATCTTGGCCGCGCACGGTGGCTCAGGTCTATAATCCCGGCACTTTGGGAGGCTGCGGCAGGTGGATCACCTGAGGTCGGCAGTTCAAGACCAGCCTGGCCAACATGGCAAAACCCCACTTCTACTAAATATACAAAAATTAGCCGGGTGTGGGGTGGTGCACACCTGTAGTCCCAGCTACTTGGGACACTGAGGCAGGAGAATCGCTTGAACCCAGGAGGCAGAGGTTGCAGTGAGAGATCATGCCACTGCACTCCAGCCTGGATGACAGAGCAATATTCCATCACAAAAAAAAAAAAGAAAAAGAAAGAAGGAAAGAAAGAAAAAAAGAAAGAAAGAAAGGAAGGAAAGAAGGAAAGAAAAGAAAAAGAAAGAAAGAAAGAAAGAAAGAAAGAAAGAAAGAAAGAAAGA